AATTTTTTTTTCCCCCCCCCCCCCCCCGATATATTTACAGCAAAATATAATCAGAAAAGTGCAGATTAAAAGGATATCTCATTAGTGCGACTTTAATGTAATATAGCGGAATGGTAAAGCTCAAAGTGAATATTTGCCTTTAATTTTAAGAGAGGCTTATTCCTCTTTTGACACTACATTGCAACACACACAGGGGCACAAATTAGCACAGCAATTACTTTTTCACTGGTTTGAGACCCTTAAATATTCGAATGACAGATCATCCAACTTCATTGTTGGGACCTGGGGATTAATCTAGGAAGGGATTTAAAAAACATTTTTTTTTAGAATATTCATTACATACATGCTATCTTCTATGCAGAAGCTTTCTGTTTTCTTTGCTTTTACAATGCACTCTTATGGAGTAATCTGTAAAAGCATCTGAATGCTAGATCATTTCAGCTCAAGGGCTTTGCGCTGCATGCCGGCTGTCCAGTGTGTCTGTCTTTGATAGTCTTTGGTTCCAGCCTGCACCCCAGCCAGGTCCCATGGTAGTTGTTAATGTGTCGCCGTTTACTGGGACAAATAGCTAATTTCCCAGCACCGTTTTAAATGGCATTTGGAATTCAAGAGGTTAAAGAAAACAAGGAAATGTATTCATGGGAAATATGGGAGCTGCCATTAAAAGAATCCCTAAAATGTAGATCAAGTCAAAACTTTCTTCTTGTTGTTGTATAATTTCTGGATAGGTTGCAAGGGTTAGAACATCTGTTGAAGTTTTACTGTTGTTTGGGGCCCTGTTGTAGAGATTTTCTCTCACTTATTGCCACGGTGATAACAGTTTCACCAGACAGGATGTATGGAAAAATCTGCATTTTTAAGATAGCATTTTTTTTGGTCTGTAATGTTGTTGAAGATCACCCCACTTACTGTCTGGTGAATCTGAGTGGAGCTTCAGACAACAGTAAAAATCTAATGGGTTGTAACCCTTCTTTACTCCATCGAAAACAAAATAAGTTGGAAATACTTGGAATCCCTGACCGGGAACAAACAATAACTGCACATTTGTACTAGGCCAATGAATCAGAAAGCATTGAAGCCATAGGGCCAGCATGGCAACTGGGGAAGTACCGTAGCTCTTTTAGAAATAGAGGTCAGCCGTGGTTATGCCCAAAAGGTTTGTTTATCTAAGTAGCACATTATCTCAGTCAGGGATTGGCTAAGATGTTATAAGAAGTTATCAACTGACTGCATATGCTTTTTGGCAAACACAAATATTTACGAATTTGTGGACAAACTTTCCCTTTTGTTTCAATAAGAGATTGATATTTTAGATGAGGCCTTTCTGTTACTGCACACTTTGTGAAAACAGGGATTTTACCTGACATGTAAAAGTTATAGATGTTGATAAGCCTACCACAAATGTATTCAGGTTTGTTTTAAGCTTTAGGTGTGTTAATTGATTGTCTGCATTCTAGATGGCTGGAACCCCTTTTCACATCCATATAGAAGGTTGGATTTTGGGAAGTGGGAATTACACATTCCACCAAATGAAGATAAATCCCCAGTCATACATCATGGATCAAAGATAAAGGTAGGTGGAATAAATCTTTGTGTTGATTGCAGAAGTTAAAGTTAAACTCAGGAAGATTACTCCAATAATCTCACATTTAGTTTACTCATTTGTATTGACATTATAGTCAATCACAGGAGCGAGCTTGGAGCAGTGGCTACTTTACAACACACACAGGGACCATGGGGAACAAAAGTAGCCACCCTCCAGAAGGGTGGCTACTGTCAGCACCAATTCAGAGATGATTTGAGGATCTACAGTCAAGTGATACACAAATAAGCTTAATTTTTGTTAATAATTAAGGCACTTGAATCCAGAGTTTAAAGGAGAACTATGAGGTGAGCGCTTTTACTCACCTCATAGTTCTAGCCGACCTGTGACAATGAGACTGTCACAGGTCGGCTCAGTAGATCAGGAAGTGAGCGAACACATAACGGCGTTCGCTCACTTCTCGATCCTGTCACAGCTCTCTGCCGTGACAGGGGAATGGCTGGATTCCCCCCTCCCCGCTCCGATCCGCCAGCGCTGACTGGCGGAACGGACGGGGGAGGGGGCGGGTACAGCTGGCTCTGCCTCTGGATAGGCAGAGCCAGCTGTCACTCATGTAGCTGGGTGGATCCAGACATAATTGTCTGGATCCACTTCAGCTGCGGCATCTCAGTATACTGAGCTTAGGGTGACGGGAGGACGCTAGTTTGTGTCCTCCCGTTACCCTAAGGAGAACTATGTGGAAAAGCCTTAACCCCATAGTTCTCCCTTAATGTCACTTTTTCATCAATTATGCAAGCCATTGTGCTGTTAGAAAAACTACAAGCTCTGAGTTGTGAGAGTTAGAAACAGGAAAGCATGTGTATCAATCCAAAAGAAAGAAGAATGGTTGCTGAATATATTTCTGAATGATGAAAATAAATCCTAAATCTATGCACAAAGCTCAGTGCTCCTAATCTGTTGCTAAATAGTTTTACTCTGCATTGTTGCATTGAATTTACTTGTTATTCTTGGTATTTGGTTAGTAATCACTGCAGGTATTAACAAAAGAAGGTGAAATACATGTCTTGCTCCTGCATCCAACAGTGCATTGCCTATACCTCAGCAATTTCTAAATGGGACAGTCCCTATTTGCCTAACATATCCTACAACATAGAAACATGATGGCAGGAAGGAGGAGGATTGTAGTTGTAAATGATTCAGAGGGGGTGATTAACTAACCTAAACACACGCACGCACCAGTTGCGTGTGCATTTTTACACAGCAAAAACGTATTTATCAACCAAACACGAGCAACGTGTCACATTTTCACGCCGTTATGGCGCGTTTTTATGTATTTACGTACGTGCACGTCATGTAGCATGCGCCATAGGCTACACGCCGCTCTAATAGCGGCATGCAAGTCTCTAAAAGCATATTTCCACTAATGCCATATATGGAAAAATCATGCACATGATGCATATATAATGCTGCTTCACAGTTTAGACAAAAATGGCTAGCTCATGCATTTACATTCCTGCATTCATCAACGCAAGCAACACAACATAGAGCTAATTTACACAACACCACCTTGTAATTCATGCAGGGCTTTGCACAACACACCTGCTGGGTGTGTACACACTACAAAGGTGTCTAGATTCCACCAATAGATCATGCTGGGAGGGAACACACTACAGAGGTGTATACTTGTTCGTGGCGTGTTTATAAGGTTAGTAAATCAACCCCAGACAGTCAGGGTATCGTCTTATGATAGGAGAAACTGTAGCAAAAACAGGCAAGGTTTTCTAAACCTTAAAACCTTAAATGTGATCACATTCCCCATCAAGACCTTTTGGCTGGGACTTTCTAAAGCTGCCCACATACTTGAGATCATCTACTAATCCAGGTGTACTGCCATTTTATATCTGTGAGTTATTTCTGATCCTGCTAGATGTTTTTTGTATACAAAAGTATTTTCTAAAGGTGTCCCACTGAAGTTCTAATATAATCTTTGATTATGGAAATGTTGCATGCAGGCATCAAGGTACCAGATGTTCTATCTAGTGTGCTGATACAAAGGACACTGAAAGTACCACAGGAGATGCATCCTTGTAAAATACACTTAAAGTGACATTAAAGTCTCGTTTTTTTACATATGTCTACCGCAAGCAAGCAGTAGATATGTGCAAAAATATACAAAAAAAGTTACCAAATAGGTAAAAGCTACCTCTGTCTCCGCTGGTCGCTCCCAGGTTTAGAACTGTAGCTTCTCCAGCGGCCGTACAGGAGGATGTGTGCGGTGTATATGCAGTGGACATCATCTGCAGGGAGAGGAGGAGAGCTACAGTGAAAGTCAATGCACACAGCCGTGAGCGTGCATGTCGGACAGACTCCGTGGAGCAGGAAGAAACAGCAGTCTGCGCTGGATCAGAGACCGGCACCAGAGCTGTAGGGACTACTGAAAAACTACTGGAAAGGAGAAGATCGGATCAAGAGGCATCATTTACGGTAAGATCAAAAGAAACAAAGCGCTAAAGGTAGCTGTATGAGCAAATACAGAGAATGGGAAAAAAATACTAAATTAATTACTCATGACAGCCAATCAGTTTTCAATCTGTTTTGCTAGTGCTACAATTATAAGTAAAATGTATTTAGTTGTCAGTGGTTCATAAGGGTCACGAATTGGGCTTTTTTTCAAGTTTTTTTTTTTTAAAACATTGTATTATTTATTTAGTATTATTTAAGTATGTTAAGCCAGTGCTCAGAACAGTAAGCATACATTGTATAAGGAGTGAGGGGAGGAGAGTTAACAAAACAACTATGAAGTTGCTAATGGAATAGCAAGCTTTGCCCACCCATGGTGTTACTTGTGTTTTGCTTTTGAGTCCAGCTTGGCTAAATACTGAGCTCCGCACTCGCACAGAGAAAGTTTTAGCAGAGGAAATGCTTTTCGGAAACAAATTAAATCCCCTGGTGTTACTTTCAGTTCTTTTAAGCATATGGTTTTCTTAAGATTTTTTTTTTCCTTTTTAACTTGTTGGTTTTAACCTGCATCATTTTAAGCCCCAAGAAAATTACAGATGCTGAAATCTACCTTGATTAGTTGAACTCTTCTGCAAGTGTGCAGGGCTGATTTCCGGATGCCAGAATTGCATTTCAGTGTAATGATTTGCTTGCCCTGCAGGAAGGAAATTAGTAATCTCAACTATTTTGAATTTGCTTAAGAAATCAGTGTGCAAATGCAAACCTGGCAAATAGCTGTATTGTAACCCAGCAAAGTGATCTGCATTGGTGTTTAATATGGATGGATCGATATTCTGTGTTTTACCTCCAAGCACAACATACACATGTGGCATTTGTTACCTGTTGCTTTATATAATAAACAGTTATTAATAAGTCCAGTAATGCATAACATCAAGTTTAAATTCCTTGTTACTGCCTTCAGGGTTTGTACAGCTGGCAGGCTGCAACACTTGAATTGCAACCAAATGGCTGGCAGAACGTAGTAGCCTTTCCCTGGCTAGGTGCCTATTTCTGGGGTGTGTGCAACTGACTCCATGACTGATCCTAAGGACGTCTGGGCTCCAGTGTATAGACACTTGGCATTAATACTTCGTGCTCCGCAGGTGTTGTGAGGAACCGGACACTTGCCTCCTTCTTGCCTAAGTTAGTTTCTGCCTTTGGCCTCAACCTGGACATTGTTCTCCTGTCCCTCTTCAGTTCACCAAAAAGAAATGTCCCTCAACTGTCTGTATGTACTTTGGGCTGTCTATCTTTTAGCCATTGCTTACTTTAGGAAAAACTGATTCCCTTGTGATCCCTGGTGGAATCTTTCAGGCTGCTTTGGCTTTTCATTCCACTATCTCTAAGTGGCTGAGGCATACCATTATCCAAGCTTATAGCCTCAAACCTCAAGATCTGTGAGTGTTTCTTAACCTTTTTAACATCAAGCAGTTGATTTTTAGATTTGCAAAGCTGCCACCTCATCTTTTGTTGATATGTTCTCTGAGTTCTACAAGGTGGATTTTGCGGCCTCATCTGTTCCCAGCTTGGAGTGTAAGGTACTTAAGGGGGCTCTTTAAGGTACATGCAGTCCCTTATTCTGTGTTTTTTTTTTTTTCCTGGGCCATTTAGCGTTTGTTAGCTGTGTTGCCCTCCCCTCATTTGAACAGCTTTTGGATATTACAAAAGTAAAATAATTCCTGTGTCCTTCAATAGACAAAAAAATAGGATGTTTGTGCTCACCATGAAATCCTTTTCTTGGAGTCTATTGGGGAACACACCCAATTGTGTTTATGATAATTCTATTGGTACTGCAATGCACCAAGATTAAGTCATGCTGGTAGTAAGAGGTGTTATCCCAGGCTGGCCTACAATTTTTTTGTTTGCCATTGTCCAGCTTCTACTTCAGGCATCAGTGCAACCCAAAGGTGCAAGACTTCCTGTGTCCCTTAATGAGGAGAAGGGTTTACTGTGAGCACAGAAATCCTATTTTTGCCTTGACGTTTGAATGGTAAAATGCGTTTCTGGATAACAAACCTCTGAAATTGTACTATACGGTTTAAAATGAATTACAAAGGCCGGTTCAAAAGCAGAATTAAAAAGCAATGGCTGACATCAAAATTGGTGCGACAAAAGATACTTAAACCAGAAATATCTAGAACCATTAACTTAGAAAAGCTATAGATAGTAATAAAATTGTCATAAAATCGGGCACTAAAGGCAAACATAGGATACATTTGCTCTTCATGGGGCTATGTGCTTAATAGCTGTACCTGAAACTGTGCAGTGACTTCAACTTCATTTATTAACCAGAACCACTAACTCATCTTCTTATTTCATATTCAGTCTCTGTGTCTGTAGTCTTCCTTCTGCTATACTGAGTTAACAATTTATCTAGTTCCAAAGTAGGTTGGAGCATGCTGTGGCCTAGGGCCGTGGTTCTCAATGAGTGGGTAGCGACCCCGTGTTCAGTGAACTTCCACTGGGCTAGGTGAGAGGCTCCTTAGCCTCCCCGTAGCACAGCACTGTCAGTTCTCGCACCGAGCAGCTCA